TTTTCTCGTGTATACTTTAGTTAAGTTTACCTGCTTTGTCAAATTTTACTGAGCTTTAACTAACTGGTTGTTAGCCGTTCACGGCACACAACTTTATAACTCTAAAAAGAATTATTTGAATAAAAACAACCTGTAAAGGAAATAAGTTTATTCGACACGACATTTTCCCAATGGAAAAATAATTTAATTATATTCACCAGATTTAAATTTAAAATTCAGGTATACGTATAATAAGTCTATTAATTCTTACATATATATTAAAAATACTGGTTATGCCAAAATTAAAAAGTTTTTAAAGTTAGATGAAAAATTCTACGCCTAAATAAGTGTTTTTCAAACAAATTCCGTACAAATTGAAGATGTTATGATTAATGATTAAAAAATATCTATTTATGTCCTTTAACAAAGACCTTATTTGTATTTTACCAAATAATATTGAAGTTCAATAAACTTATTTCCTTTACAGGTTGTTTTTATTCAAATAATTCCTTTTAGAGTTATAAAGTTGTGTGTCAGTTAGTTAAAGCTCAGTAAAATTTTACAAAGCAGTTAAACTAAACTAAAGTATACACAAAAAAAAGGAAAACAAAAAGCGCGAATGAAACCAGACGTTTGCGTACGAAACAGGACCTATGTAAATAGACAAAGGAAATGCAGACAAACCGAACGCGGATGAAAGCAGAGGTTTGCAGTTAAAAGCAGATGTTTGCAGATGTTCGCGGAAAGCTCAGTAAAATTTGACAAAACGGATAAACGAAACTAAAGTATACACGAGAAAAAGGAAAACAAAAAGCGCGAATGAAACCAGACGTTTGCGTACGAAACAGGACCGAAATGGACAAAGGAAATGCAGGCAAACCGAACGCGGATGAAAGCAGAGATTTGCAATTAAAAGCAGATGTTTGCGGATAACATCAGATGTTTGCGGATATAATCAGATGTTTTCGGATAAAATCAGATGTTTGCGGATAAAATCCAGATGTTTACGGATAAATGCAGATGTTTGCGGATAACATCAGATGTTTGCAGATAAAATCAGATGTTTGCGTATAAAATCAGATATTTGCGGATTAAAACAGATGTTTGCGATTAAAATCAGATGTTTGCGGATAACATTAGATGTTTGCGGATAAAATCAGATGTTTGCGGATAAAAGCAGACATTTGCAGATTAAAATAGATGTTTGCGTATAAAATCAGATATTTGCGTATAAAATCAGATGTTTGCGGATTAAAACAGATGTTTGTGGATAAAATCAGATGTTTGCGGATAAAAACAGGTGTTTGCGGATAAAATCAGATGTTTGCGTATAAAATCAGATGTTTGCGGATAAAAGCAGATGTTTGGAGATTAAAACAGATGTTTGCGGATAAAAGCAGATGTTTGCGGATAAAAGCAGATGTTTGCAGGTGAAATCTTATGAATCAGACTTTTGCGGACTAAATGAGATGTTTGCGGATTAAAACAGATGTTTGTGGATTAAAATAGATGTTCGCGGATGAAAGTAGATCTTCACGTATAAAAGCAGATGTTTGCAGGTGAAATCGGATAAAGCAGACGTTTGCGGATTAAAGTAGATGTTTGCGGATAAAATCAGATAAAACCGGGTGAATGCAGATATAAACTCAAATACAGGTATTTGCGGATGAAAACAGATAAAAGCAGACATAGATCTAAATAGATAAAACCCGACGTTCGCGGATAATATTTATACCCGCAATTGCAGATAAAAACCGACATGCCGGGTAAAATCAGATTTGTCGGATAAAAACAGATATAAATGGACATAAAACTAGCTTGGTTTTTTATCCGCAATCATCCGATATTACCCGTCTTTTTCAGCAGGGAGGGCAAGTGATTCTTTATTTAAAAGTTTCTTTTAGTGAATATATAAATATTATGATTAATATTATTATTTAAATAAAAAGTACAGATAAGAAATTTGAGAACCATTTTTAGTCCACTAAATAAGTTGTTTTATTCAACAATGGTAAAAAAACATGGTCACCCTTTTTTAAACACCCGACAAACAATCGTCCGTCGGCCGTTAGGCGGCATCTGATTATCGCATTTTTACATGAGCCGACGTTAGACCGACGTCCGCAAAACTAGCGTTCGCAATACGTCAGACTGACCTCGGTAAAATGAGCTGACTAACGTCGGCAAACGATAATCAATTTCCGTCCATCTATCCAACGTTTTACCGACGCGTCGCGGCGTTGGTAAATGATAATCGATTTTTTCAATGCCCGCGATGGGTTGCAATACTTAGTTGGAGGTGTGATGGCATAGCCGAATATGAAGGTTCTATACGTCTAGAGTGTGTTAAAATATCATGATTTAACTAGACAACCACAAAATACTAGTGAAGCTAGAAATATTATTATTTAAGGTACATGTTGATTTTAATAATAATAATACTCTTTATTTGATCTTTAAAATAAACTACATAATACCCATAGGGTGTAGATCATATCACAGTAGCATATAATATAAATTATAGACAATAAAAACAATACATCCAATGGACAAAACCTTAGTAAAACACTACAAATCTAGAAAGTTTTGTTCATCAAAGAACTCTGCCATATTCTAATAAGACCTCTGATTTAGAAATTGTTTTAATCTCAATTTTATTGTGTTTTTTTGGGACTAGGCTGTACTGACATTTTTCTGGACATAGGTATAATTTGGCTTATCAGTAGAAAGAAGATGCTTATGACTGATATCATATAGATGTTTTGTTTCGGAATTCTTAAATGAATCAAAATTTTCAGTAGGTAACAAACTTCAAACACCCAATAAGCACAAGGACATCCTCAGGACATATTCGGGAGGTCAAGCCGGGACGTACTGGCTGTCCTGAGGACGTTCGGCGACCGCCATTGGGGAAGCCTAAACACTTCCAAATTGTACACTCAGACCGTTCAAATGTGGTCCAATAAAGACTCATATCGACCTGATTCGGCTCGGTTTCGACCTTTGGTTTTTTACATCCAATGAAGCATTTTGAGGTTAGGGGTCGTCCATATTTACACTGAAATAAATTATTGCGAAAGTTGTGTACATACTTTTACGTATTATTAGTTGTTATTTTACATAATATGTAAAATTACAACTAATATTATGTAATAGAACACAACCTTCACACCATTTTGTTCAGTGTAGTACGTCACATTTTTAAATTTCTTGTCTGAAATGTTCACTTATCTCTTTTCAATAATTTTTATTTTTTTAATAATACAATAAAATCACATATTTTAAAAAATTAACAATTTATTAATATGAATAGGTGTTTTCGCGGTGCTAATCCCGAACCTGTTCGGAAATCCTAGGCATGCGCATTTTAATATTTGTCATGCGCACTTTACATTTTGAACCCCAAATTTTAAAAAGCGCATGCCTAGGATGTCCGGAATTAGTTTGGGATTAGCTCCGCAAAAATAGCTAATATTTTTTTTATATTTTTTTTAGGTCCTAAACTAAAAAATTAGGGGGCGCTGCGGACAAAAAAACCAAGTTGGTTGGTTACCCTAATGCACATGCAATATGAAGAGAAGCGCTTAAACTTTTATTTGTGGGTTGGAGTGAAATACATGAACGATCGAAATTTATACAAAATGATTTTTTTACGGAGTCTACATTTTGTACAAAGGGCTATTTTTTATTCCAAAATAGTAGTTGTAGTCTCGCGAAAATCCAAATTATGTAGTGCAGAACGAAAGCGTTTTAAGAAAGTTAATGTTTTTTTTTTGTAACATTAATCATTTTTCCTTAAAGAAAATTTAAATAAACACCCTGCAACCAGACAAGCTAGACAACATTTACTGGCAGTGGTTGTCAAATCAATTTGGGGAAAGGTGAATGGAAGGCTTCGGTTAAGTTAACTTTCCTGCAAGATCACCTGACCTGACACCAATGGATTTTTTTGTGGGAAGGTTTTAGAACAAAAAATGTACATATATAGATCGTAAAGCATTAAAGGGAAGGAATCCAAGCAGCAGTCAACGAAGTGAATGTTCCAGAGGTATTGTTTTTAGTAAATTTATTAAAAATTCATTTAAATAATGCTAAACGTTATGCTGGAGGGGGGCACGTGAAATAACTCCACAAATTTGTTTTATGTTAATTTTATCATCTAAACTGAGATTAGTAAAAATATTGAATTTTACCTTTTTTTGCTTGGGCAAATTTTGTATAAACTAATATAAGGATACTTTTCTCATGTATAAATTTTATGTTTTCTTAATTTATAATTATAATTAATGCATTTAAATGAAACCAGACACGTCGTAATGTGCAATGCTAATGTGCAAATTGTGCAAAAACAAAATGAAGGTACTTCTTTTCATAAAAATAAAATAAAATGTTAAAATTAAAATTCTATTTCGTATTTAGACTTTAATTTGAGTTGTCACCGACTTTCTTGCATCGAGTTTTTTCTTAATTTGATTTAATTTTTTTATGAAAATCTTATTTTTTAAAAGCATTAAAAATGTTTTTCCTATAGGCAACCCGATGTGAAGACATTTATTATTTTATATTATAATATTATTATAATATATTGTGCAATTTTATGCCCAGAGAAAAAAGCAATAAGTCGGCCGATAGTTTAAACGAAACTTTTATTATTTAACCGACATGTCGGCATTTCTTCTACTAAAACATGAGTTAAATTGAAAGCTTAATAAAATCTATTAAATATAATTGAAACATCATGTGCTTAAAAGTACCATGTTCTTTAAAGGAAAATGTCATACCTGCGATCGGGAATTAGGCATTAAAGATTATTTACAAACCCAAACACATGGTTAAATACAAATTGCATGCTCTCTTTATATCGCACGCAGATTTATTGTTATTGCTCATGTATCTCATTATTGTATTAGGTAAATAAATTATTATTGCATTAAAACAATAATGAATAACTTCTTATGGCTGCGTTGGGGCTAATAATATTAATATTATGTTATGTTAGAAGATAAAAACACATTATATACCTGTAAAATTTTGAACCGCTCTTTCGTATTCCAATTCTGTAGAATTATGCTTTTCAAGCCATTCAGCAATAGGTTTATCCTTTAAGGACCCGGTAAGGCCGTGTTCTATTTGAATTTTACGTAATGTCTCAGAGTTTACTACCATTTCAATCATTCCTTTTTTAAAACCTGTCGGAACACAACTAAAAGTAACCATTTTTAAGTCCAATCCTTGATGTAACCATAATTTATCCATAAGCTTGATCATTTGAAGTGTTAACATATCTTGTTGTAAATCATCTCCCACTTTAAAAATTGCAGGTTTTATAGATTTGTCCTTCATGATAAAGTTAAGTTTTAAGGGCATAGTAAAAGATGGAATATAGGAACTTGTAGAAACTTGAAGTCCAATTACTCTCATAGATGGTGATAAAGGTAGACTTAAGGAATTGTTATTTAAAAATTCATCCACTATATTAAGTTCTGATACTAAACACTTTTTAGTTTGATCTTTTTTGTGCTGAACAACCAAAGCTGCGTTATTTAATTTCTAAAAAATAATTATTATTAATAAAATAAAAACAATTTAATTTATACTAATACAAAAATTGTTACAGATATCCTTTAAAATAGATAAATGATAACAATTTTAATATAACATATGTATATTTGTGTGTACAGTTACGGAAAGAAGTAATGTCCATTTGAATGCTCCATTGTAATTGTTCGGAGGCATTCGGAAATGGTCAACATCTGCCTCTTAGGGATTTATTTAAAAATATGTCTATATTTAGAATTTACTACCTGCTCGTATTGAATTAATTATTTTGGGTATGTTATTTAACTGTATTTTTATTAAATCGTTAATTTTTTGATATATATATTTGTATAGTTTTATAAACATTTATTCTATGAAAAAACTTTTAATAAGAACTTTTTAGGCTATAAATTATATTATCAAGTTGTAGTTTTTAAAACTTACTTTACATTTTTCAGAACTAGCAATGATTCAATACACTATTTTAGGAGTAAAAACTAATTTTATTATTTGTTGCACTTTTATGTGTTAAAATTAAAAACATACTCTCTAAAAATGAATTAGTCAAAAACTACTAATTTAATAGTTAATAGTGGCTGCTTTTTCACTTGTACCATGGTTAACCATACATACCATAACCTTAATACCATGGTATCCCAAAACTAAATAGCCAATTCTTATGTAAAATTATCCCCTGAATCCGAAAATACCGTCAAAAGTTAAAAAAGTAAAACAGTTTTTGAGATATAGTCAATTTTCTATTTAATATGGAATTGACTATATCTCATAAACTGCTTCACTTTCATAATTATTGAAGGTATTTTCGGATTCAGGGGACAATTTTACATAAGAAATGGCTGTTAAATTTTGGGATACCATGGTATTCCATAGTTAACCACGGTACAAGTGAAAAAGCAGTCAATAATAATTAAAATTTTTATATTTGGTATATTTTTAAATTAAATATACTAGGATGTATCAAAACATGTTTATATAATTATAATATAAAAGTTATCATACCTATAAAACTATAACTTACATATAAAAACTATAAAACATGTAAACATAAATAGCTATAATTTTAAAATTATAAAATATATATTATATAAATATATAAATATTATAAAACTATAAAATATATATTATATATTTCTTCATATTTATTTATTGCTCTTTTATTATATGTAGGTTAATGTGTAAAAAATTATAAAATATTTATTCTTTAAAGTTATAATAATATACGCCGGCGCCGTTAAAATTATCATCGGCGCACACGTCGCGTATTTAGGCATAATTAGAGGTATAAGTTAATACTTGCCGAAAGGGCTAATCCTCATCCGGCTTAATAAGAAAATATTACAATACCTATAGATGTATAAACAGAAAATATATAAATTATATTATAAAAGTAGGTAATAAATTTTACAGACCGAAGTTCTTTCGGACTAAAATGTTAAAAAGTATTTTAATTTAATTTCATATTAATATTTTAAACGTAGGACAAATTATTAAATATTTGATAAAAAATATTATATAATTATAAGTATAAATACCAAAAAATGGTCCTGTTAAAATGCAAGCTCTTAATATTACATTTACAGGTCCCTCATCGAGAATTTTTATTTCTTATTAAAATAATATGAGATTTTTTAAAATACTTTAAAATTGTATAACTCGTAAACGGATTAGTAAAACTAAAACAAATTTTGGTAGGGCTCTTTTAAAAGGTATTCAAGGTAAAAGTTGAATTTATAGACATTTTCAAGATTTTCAAACTTTTTCAGCAAAACAAAATTTATCGTAAAATTTAGTAGGACCCTTTTTTAGGAAAATATTATCTAAAACCATAAGCAAAGAAAGCTGCCTTTTTATTTAAAAAGAAATGGTAAATAATTACATTAATAATTATAATTGAAGCATGGCATTCCCAAAGGGTTTGGACCCAATTTGGTCAAATATTATATTATCATTTAAAAATAGTCTATGTGCCATGCAAAACGACTAAAAAAATATTTTCCATATTATTTTTGTATTTTAAAGATGTATGGATTTTCATTGATTTCACACAATTTTATTTTTCACACTTAGACCCTTTGGGAATACCAAGATCAATTATTATAATAATTATAAATTTTTGCCGTTTCCATATTTTATTGGATTTTTATACATTGAAATAAGTTGGTATTGGGCAGATATTTCATAAAACAAGTAATGAAAACTAAAATGTTGATAATAGTATATTATTAAACGAGAGATAATGCAGGCTATTATTCAAAAGGATAAGGTTTGCATGTCGAGCCGTCAGGCGAGAGACGTAATTCATCCGAGTAAATAATGCGCATTATTTCGAGTGTAATACTATGTTTGTTCTACTCCAATTAAGAAATTTTCATTGATAACAAAATTTATTTATTATAACCTCACTTTTCTCCTATTTTAAAGATCAATATAGTCGCCCCTCGTATATATAAATAAATCTGACATCTGTCAACCTTACTTTTTTCTAATTTAAAACCCGATTGTTTCAAATATCAGTGAATATTAAAATAAGCCAATCACTGTTACCCAACAACGTAAATATAATAATAATATAATATAATTCACTTTGATAGACCGGGCGGTTATATTGGTTACCATTATTTACGCAAAAAAAAAACAAAAAATATCAAAAATATGCAATAGAAGTAGAAAAACGTATTAATAGTGCACAAAATGCATTTTAGTTTAAAATTTTAATGAGTTTAATTTACATTGTAAGAATAAATATTTTAATTTATATTGCCCAGATAACAAAAAATCACATAAAAAGGTAAATACATTAAAGAGGGTTATTAACAATTTTATTTGCAAAATTATGCAAAAGTTTATAATTATTTTAGTATTAAATGTCTATATTTCATTTAAATATATTATTTTATTAATAACAACTTATTAAATAATATATAGTTTATTTAATAAGTTATAGAACATATATATATTATATTTAAATTATTTCAGAATCAATGTTATTCCTTAAATATTTAATTATTGCATAAAAGCTTAAAAGTCAAATGAAATGTGCCTAGAAAGAATGGTAAATAGCAGGTAGGTAGAATTATTGAGTTTAAAAATAGATATGTTAATTTTATTACCAAAACCCGAATGCCTCCGAACAATTACAATGGAGCATTCAAATGGACATTACTTCTTTCCGTAACTGTACAATAAATATCAAAAGCACATTGCAACAATTGGGTGACCAATTTTAAACTGAATTTCACTGATCTCCTATACTTTCAGATAAACATAAGTGTATATACCTATTTAACAGTAAACCCCTCGGTGGGTTAATAAAAGTAAGCTCGAATTTTTGAATGACCTTAGGAAATTTTACTATACCAAAGAAAAAAATTAATTCATTACGTGGCATGTATTTGGGATGTCAGATTGACAACTTCGACAATTGTTTCCCGTTTTATTTCCAAACAGGCCCGCACAGAACTTTCTATTGGTCAGAGAATATTTGCAAAATACTTTTGCATAATGCCACGTAAATTTTCTTCGGCCAGCAAGGTCACCGGACTTGGTTCCCTGTGATTTTTGTATATGGGGATATCCGAAGTCAAACATGTACGGATTTCAGCATTTTACGGCCAATAATCTTAATAAATTAAAATAAATGGTAATTATTACATATTAAATATTAGCATATGCTGACAAATGTTCGTCAAAAATTTTACAACAGATTGTCGTATTGTTCGGACCGTTTATGCAGCTATTTGAACACCTGATTTAACATGTTTTGTTACTATTATTCGCCGTCCTAAAAACATTGTACGGCTGATTATTTTCAATATTTGCCACTGTTCTTTTTTTATATAATAAAGAGTTTAATTTTTAACCATCCAGCATATAAAATAGTTTAATTTTTTAAATCAATATTAAATTCGATTTATATTTAAAAAACAGCCCATGTTTTTATTTTCCATTTTTCGGAGCATCTCGACCTCTACTACCGATCGTAATAGCGCGGTGCCGTTGTATTTATTAAACGCGGTTCTATTATGAATTTAAATTTACAAATTGCAACAGGCATGCGATTTAATTTATAACTAAAAAATATGTCAGTATTTTTCTAAGAGTACAAATGCACGTCTCATTTGTGCTCTTAAATTAATTTAGATGGGATACAACGTTAAATGTTGTTCTATTTTATACCCAATAAATAAATTTAAGATCGCAAAAATTTGTAAAAATGTAATGACATAAGCAGAGCGAAGAGCGAATTGGAATTATCTCTCAAGTAAAGCGGCCATTGAAGCATAATTCTAGAACCATTTTAACCGTTTTAGTTAAAATCAATGATATCAAAAAATCACGATATCGGTCATCGCTAAACTGAAGTTAAATCTAAAAGGTTGTCAATTGGTGGGATGACATAGTTAGAGGGGAAATAAAACATAGGCGGACAATTTACCGTTTTGATTTAATTGTTTTAAACATTTCTACTGCACGCTCATGACGAAGGAATTAAGTTTGTTAACCAATCGGTTTAACGATAGTGGTTTATATCACTTGTTCGTATGTTTCATGTTCCTTGCGTCTTTATTTACTAAACGGACTATCGGTGCATTATCACTACTGTATAGAGCTAGAAATATTTTTTTTTCAAATTTTTATACCACATTTCTATATGTAAGTATAGATTTTTGTTATTTAAAATGCAAAAGTGTCCAAGTTCACTTTATTATTTTTTACACCTTGTAGTGATAAACAAGGATAATAAGTAAAAAATTCAACCATTACTAGCGAAAACACTCCAGTGCCAGTTTTCGATGATTTATCCAATTTTACTGCAACTACGCCAGTAATGTGTTTAAAAGTGACTAATCAAATTTATAGGACCATTGCATATTTGTCTTAATGACGAGCTCCTTAATAAACCTTTTTACAATATTTAAAATAAAATAATACTTTACTGTTTTCAATTATGAGTATAAGAAACGTATGGCAGGCCCCATCGGCAACGCCTTACACTGATCTCCCAGGGTTATTTTACCCCCTTTCAGTTCTCCTGTGTATACCGCCACTGCACCGCATTACCTGAGTTTGTGGAGCTCGCTGGAATGTTCCAGAAGACTTGGGCGCTGAATATATAAGGAACGGAGCAGCACAGAGCAGTTAGTGAAGTTTTGGTACTCGCGTCGAAATAAATAAATATAAGTGCAAATAAATAGACTCTTGAACAGTAGTGATATATAAATAATTAGTAGTTAAGTGTTTAGTTAGTTTTATAGTGTTTTAAGAGTAGTTAAGTTATTAAATAAATAGTTTAGTTCGTTAATTAACCAGTGCGTGTTTTAATTCACATTACGAACAGTTAAAAACGTTACATTACTATACATTTTTTAAAGTGAATGACTGCATTTGAAGTAGTATATAACTATGTATGTACCCATATTTTGTGAACCAGGCTTCCAACTGTATATTTTGTATATATGACGAGGACATGTACAGGTATAAAATACTCAAATATAACCGAAATCGGAAACTTAAACCTTGTTTTCCTGTCCTTCGCGTGAAATGCTATTCATCCGCTGTGAACAGAACTAAAATTTAAATTCACATGGCCCAGCAAGTTTTACCTAATTTTCATCATCATCATCTGCGTAACATTAACTTAATTTTATTTAATTTAGTGATTTTTTCAGAATTCCAAATTTAAACAAACTATCTTTGATTTTTAATTTAAGTAACCAAATTTAATCCAATTCAACTTTTTACTTTAAGTTGGTTTGCCCTGTATATTTATTATGTAAATAAGATACAAATTGTATTTTTAATAATTTTATGCTTACCTTTACTAGAACTTGTTGCCTTAAAAATGAATTTCTTAATGCTTCGCCACATAATACTATTAAACCTTTATACATAAGTTTTAATCGTTGCAAATTCCTTATCTCTAGGTTTTCACTTGCTTCTTTAAGATCTTCAATTTCTTCCTAAAAAATAATACCAAAATAATTATATTTATTTTTTTTATATACCGTATGTCCCCAATTCGACTTCATAAGAGGAAAAACCTTTTTATTTTTCATTTTTCGAGATAAATGCATTCTTGATAAAAGTTTTTGCTTGTTCTAAAATGGCTAATTCAGTTTATACTTTTACAAATTTCCCCTCAGTTTCAAAGATGTATCGAAAAATAAGAGACGCTGTAGAATCCATAACAATTGAAGAGATTCGGAATAGTGTAGAAAAGGGCGGAGAATGGATTGATTGAGTTGTTGTTGCTTATTTAAATAATAAATTCATTAAAATATTAATCAGTTACCATTTCAGTGTTTATTTACTACAGTATCAAGTGAAAATAACAATCATAGTCTTTTGGACTTGTCTGAGTCGCCCTTATTGACGGTCATTGCAACTAATCTTAGAAATTATTTTCGATAGATTAAAGTTTCCGTGCGAGCCAATAGGCGAGTGAAGAAATTTATCGAGCAACTCCACTATACTTTTTGACGAGTGAAGCCAATTTAAATTTTTAACTATATTTTAAAAAATTAAAAAAAACTTGTCAATTATTTAATTCTGACATTTAATTATTTAAATCTGACGTTTACATTTAAAGTTAATCACATTGTAGCGTCGTCAATGGTAGCGGGAAAAAGTAATAATGGAAACGCGTTGAAGTTACCATAGAAACGCATTATAATTTTTTGAAGTTAAAAATTTTAAACATATTTTTCGATACATCTTTGAAACTGAGGGGAAATTGGTAAAAGTATAAACTGAATTAGACATTTTAGAACAAGCAAAAACTTTTATAAAGAATGCATTTATCTTGAAAAATTAAAAATAAAAAAGTTTTTCCTCTTATGAAGTCGAATTGGGGACATACGGTATATATGGGGCATTCCACGCCAAATCGGATACTCCATTGCTTTTGCATCTCCGATCTTTAAATTTTTTTTTTATTTTAGTACTGGTTGAGACTAACCTCTAAAAATATTTTTAATTTTTTTTGTCAAACTGTTCAAAAATTTTTAAAAAATTTCTTTATTTTTTTTTAAACGTCCATAACTTTGCAAAAAATGGGACAAATTGGAAATTTTTTTTTTCAAAAATTTTTTTTTAACGTACTTTTGATAAAAATACCGAATAAATTTTTGATATCATACTAATATGAGATTTTTAAGTTTTAAAACTATATCGTTATTTTTAATAAAGTATGTATGGATCGATTTTTTTTAAATTGTAAAAAACTATTGTCCATTAAACAAATTTTTAGCCTAGTCTGGTAATGGGAAAACAATGCAATCTATTTTTTTAATTGTTTAATTATGATGGTTTTTATTTCTTGCCTTGATATTCAATAATAATTATTTTTTCATGCTCAATATTTATTGTTAGTTTCCTAAATAGAAAAAAAATTTTTTATTATAATTATTGTTTAATAAACGACAACTAATAATAGTGATAAAAAACGTTGCGAGTCACAACTTGAGATGGTAAGAGCGCTGACCAACCCTGAACGTGCAGTCAGTCACGTAGTCGACGGTCTAACTGCGATGGCTTTGTGCGCATATGCAGAGTCAAAGCTCCTGAATAACAGGAAAATCCTCTTGATAAATTTATAACTGAGAGTTATACCACGAAGTATAGCTATTTATTTATTATTTTTAAAAAAGTTTATGTTTGCACAGTGTTAGGGTGTTTCATTTAAAACGAAAAATTCTTTTTTCTTGCTGACACATAAAAATTTTGTTTTTTAGGTTGAAAAAAAATTCCCTGAAAATTTTAGCCCTTAAATTTGATTTTAAGTACTTCCTTTTTAATCATTTTTACTTTAAATTTCTATATTTTGGCCGGGTTTTGAATTATAATTTTTATCACCATAATTTCCTGCATAGTATTCACGGTTTTTGAAAGGCCCTGCATCAATTTTGTTTTTGATTTATTTACGTTGATTGTAGTAGCTCCAAAAGTCGATTTTTCACTTTTTCTCACATATTTTTTAGAAAATCGAGCGAATGACTGGTTTTACCGAAAAAGTTCAAATGAAAAAGTTGTAGGAAATTTATTTTTTGACAAAAATAGTTCTTACGTTCATATCACTAAAGTGCTTTGTTTAAGAGATATAAGGTATGAATGTATGTATATTATATTATACATAAATTTCAATAAAACCTATTTTTTCTTTGTTTTTGGTTATTGAATTGCTTATATCTCTTAAACAAAGCACTTTAGTGATATGAACGTAAGAACCTTTTTTGTCAAAAATTAAATTTCCTACAACTTTTTCATTTGAACTTTTTTGGTAAAACCAGTCATTCGCTCGATTTTCTTAAAAATATGTGAGAAAAAGTGAAAAAAACGACTTTTGGAGCTACTACAATCAACGTAAATAAATCAAAACAAAATTGATGCAGGGCCTTCCAAAAACCGTGAAAAAAAAAACGCAGAAAATTATGGTGATACAAATTATAATTCAAAACCCGGCCAAAATATAGAAATTTAAAGTAAAAATGATTAAAAATACATGCTTTTTATATGGAAAAACTACAAAATTAAAAAGGAAGTACTTAGAATCAAAATTAAGGGCTCATATTTTCAGGGAATTTTTTTTTCATCCTAAAAAACAAAATTTTTATGTGTCAGCAAGAAAAAAAAATTGATCGTTTTAAATGAAACACCCTACACAGTGTGTAGAAAAGCATTATACCGTAAAAATGCTACTCATACCATTGCTGTGGTTAGTGATTTCGAAGTTGAAATAGAATATATTGACAGTACAGAAGATGATACCCCAATATTAAATACTCCAACTGGTAAGATTTATCAAATTATGTTTAAAGTTAAATTGTATACAATATATTTAATTATAAAAAAGATGCTTTTAGTTTCATTCCATTATTGGGTACTTTTATAACTTTTTAGAAGCAGAACAACTAAGTGAAGAATAAACATCACAAACGAGTAGTGTATCTCAATTAAGCACAGAAACAATGTTGCCTGTGGTAAATGGAGCATTTGCTTTATTAAACGAATCCCCAATTGCAAAGAGACATTTAAATAATCAAACATATTTAAAAAATAAAGTTAATAATCTATACCAGAATTTAAATGCGTCTCTTGGAGTAATGAAAGATTCTGACAAAGAAGCTAATGAAAAAATTTTTTGGACATGATCGAAAAATTAAAAAGTAAATTTAAAGACACTAATATGAATCGATCCAATAAATTACAAATTCTCACGCTATTACCTGAAACATGGGGTGTCTCAAGAATTTGTAATACAATGGGTTGTACAAAATATATGGCATCTGTAGCAAAATCTCTTCAAAAAGAAAAGGGGATTTTTTCAACACCAAATATGAAATTAGGTAATTTAAAACACCTTCCTAAGATAAATAATAATGAATTATTAATAGTAATTAATGTTTTATGGAGTAATAAATATAATGAGCTAAATTATTTTAGGTCGGCCATTATCTAAGGACATAACATCAAAAATTTTTGAATCATATGTAGACGATGAAACCAGTGTGAATATGCCGGGAATGAAAGATTTTCTTTCTATTCGAAACGACGATGGCAAACGTGAGCATATACAAAAACGACTTATTCTCTCAAACTTAAAAGAACTGTATGAACTTTTCAAAATACGACATCCAGATTTTCGGGTTGGCTTTTCCAAGTTTGCATCATTACGCCCTCAGTATTGTGTACTTGCAGGTTCTAGCGGAACACATACTATTTGTGTTTGTTCTATGCACCAAAACGTCAAGCTTATGATGTTAGTAAGTTTTATACTAGTTAAATCTTTTTCAGTTAATATTTATTATCTTTTTCACTGTAGGGTGCAATTTAGCAACTGTCACGGACCAATCAGCAACACCTTTACGGCTATATAATGATTGTCTTAAAATGATTATTTGTAAGGATCCAAGTTTTAAATGTTATTTTCATGACTGTGATAAGTGTCCAGGTACACAAACTTTAGAAAGTTTATTGATAGATGTACTTCCTGAAAATAATATTGAGGAAATAACCTATAAGTATTGGATTTCGAAGCCTCGTACAAGCTTGGAGACAATTGTGAAATGTTCGTCAGATTTCGTTGACGATTTTTGTGAAAATTTAAAGAGTCTTCTACCACACACATATGTTGCTAAGGAACAAGCAACTTAAGGAATCTAAAAGTTCATCGTTATTATGCCTTTGTTATACAAAATGCTGCATCGGGATTTCACTGGAATAAAAGCCAGGCAACAATTTATCCAGTTGTTATTTATTTAAAAAAAAATAATGAACTTGATCACAACTGTGTAGTAATAATATCTGATTGCTTGTCTCATGATGCAGTTGCTGTTCATGAGTTTACAAGAATTACTATTAATGTAAAAAAAAAACATTTAATGACGCTGCAAAATTTATTTACTTCTCTGACGGAGCCCCCCAACAATTTAAAAATTACAAAAATTTTTTGAATATTAATTATCATCAAGAAGACTTTGGACTAAGTACTGAATGGCATTATTTCGCACGGCAAAGGGCCTTGTGATGGTGTAGGAGGAACCGTAAAAAGAATGGCAGCACGAGCAAGTTTGATAAACAAATAGCAACCCCAAAACAGTTATATGATTGGGCAATCAAACCAAATAGTTTGCCAAATATTCATGTTGAATTTGTATCTAATGGAGAATATATTGGTGCTAAGAAATTACTAGAAACAAGATATAACAGAGCAAAGACAATAACAGGGACCCAAAAATTTCATTGTGTAATACCAGACAGAAGTGGCTCTTTAAGATTTAAAGTATTTTCATCATCTGCTGAATCTCTAATTTACAAAATATTTAAACGTGAAACAAAATGAGAGCTTTCTAATAAAAAAAATTACCGAGTATAAAAGTAACAATTTTTTAATATACTTTTCTTTTAATACTTTTGTAAAAATAAAAAAAATAGTTAGAGGCCCCTGTACGAATGTTTTAGA